AACCAGAAAAGGCCATTGAAATAATGGCTCAAATCTCTATCAATATAAAACGTCTGCAGTTTAGTTTGTATTAAAGTCGGTCTGCAGTTTAGTTTGTATTAAAGTCGGTCTGCAGTTTAGTTTGTATTAAAGTCGGTCTGCAGGTTAGTTTGTATTGAAGTCGGTCTGCAGGTTAGTTTGTATTGAAGTCGGTCTGCGGGTTAGTTTGTGTTGAAGTGGGTCTGCGGTTTAGTTTGTATTAAAGTCGGTCTGTGGTGATGCTCAGCTCTCTATCAGGGACGTTTCCTTCATTGTTGACATTAGCTCTGGCCTAGTTCAGTTCATCTTTGACAAACATGAACCTGACTTCAGATTCACCTATTAAACACACCAAAATACCAGAAAACTGGAGGCCGTCACGATTCACTAAAGTACAACGACTGATGTTTGTCCGTGTTATTAACCAGCTCGGTGTTTGTTCTGTCAGTCTGAAGGTTCGCGGCTGCAGAGGGAGATGAAGGCATACATGTCTGCCATTAAAGGTGAAAAAGAGTATTTATTGTTCAGTATGTCATACATCATGTATAAAACATATATCAAAAATGAATGACTACGTCCATCAGCTCACTGTCTTTTTGACCCTGCAGGGATGCAGCAGGCCTCCATCAACCTGGCACAGTCTCTGCATGAAGTCTATGAACCAGACTGGCATGGAAAAGATGACATCATGGTCATTGGGAAGGTCAGAGTCATAAAATCACCCACATTACAGGACAGGTGTCCAGGTCTCACTGTAACACAAAGGTATCCAGGTCTCACTGTAACACAAAGGTGACCAGGTCTCACTGTAACACACAGGTATCCAGGTCTCACTGTAACATACAGGTACCCAGGTCTCACTGTAACACACAGGTGACCATGTCTCACTGTAACATACAGGTGACCATGTCTCACTGTAACATACAGGTGACCAGGTCTCACTGTAACATACAGGTGACCAGGTCTCACTGTAACACACAGGTACCCAGGTCTCACTGTAACACACAGGTGACCAGGTCTCACTGTAACACACAGGTGACCAGGTCTTACTGTAACACACAGGTATCCAGGTCTCACTGTAACACACAGGTGACCAGGTCTCACTGTAACACACAGGTGACCAGGTCTCACTGTAACACACAGGTGACCATGTCTCACTGTAACACACAGGTGACCAGGTCTCACTGTAACACACAGGTATCCAGGTCTCACTGTAACCAGTGGTGTATAAAGTACCCAAAAGCCATACTTGAGTAATAAAGATACCTTACTGGAAAATGCCTCCAGTAAAAGTAAAAGTCACCTATTAGAATACTACTTGAGTAAAAGTCTTAAAGTATCTGATATTTATTGTACTTAAGTATCAAAAGTAATTTTCTGATGTTAAATGTACTTAAGTATTGAAAGTAAAAGTACAAGTAAATGCTGTTAATAAAAAAGCAAAGGGTCAGAATTATGAAGTTTATTCTTTTAAGTGATGTGGCCACCATGACCAAGGACATGGAGCTGTGTTGAACATAATTGGGTTGGCTGTGATCCATCCAGGAGCAACAATGTTCAACATAATATATTGTACATAAGTATACTTTTGCATCTACTATGAACTTATCATCAGAATTCTCCGAAAAGCAATATGACACTATGAAGGAGTTGTAACAGTGCGTTTATAAGTATGCTCATTCCGACTAGAGGATGTAGAGGGCAAATGCATAATATTGTGTTCAGCAGAAAATATCCACTTGATGCATCAGGTCAGTGTTGTGAGAAAGGACACCTGCCTTGTAAACTCCTATGGGCCTGATTTGAACACAACAGGCAAAGGTTTTGCTCAAGCTGAATCTGCAATTGGGCGACTGCTACCATCATAACTCCATCTGATCATCCACAAAATGACTCAAATATCAAAACATGATCAATACTAAAGCAGCACCGAAAGTAACAACCCAGTCATTACTTGAACCTGAAAAATGTCCTGTTCGTCTTCAAAAGAAGTTGGTTTTCAAAATTGCGAGAATTCAGTCTCGCTCTTCTTGGGCTGAAGACTAGTCCTGCGATGCTAAATAGCCTTTCACAGGCCGCTGAGGCAGGTAGAGGTGTGTTCAGCTTCACAGACAGCTTGCGCACAGCTGGGAAGGATTCCCATAATGCTAACGCTAATGCTAACCCTAATGCTAACACTAATGCTAACCCTAATGCTAACACTAATGCTGCGCTCTCGCAGCTCCTGTCAATCCTATGGTGTGGTGGCTAGCTAACGTTAAGTTAGCTAACGTTAGCCAACTAGTGCTGCAATGATTATAGCTAAGATGACTCAAATCAACAACATCTCACAACTGTCAACACTTCCTCAGCTCACTAACTCGCTAGCGATCCACGGGTGTTGGTCTTCGTCACCGCCGTAGTTTGTTGCGGGAGTAGCAGGTGCTTCCATTTCTGCTTCCATCATGAAATCAGTCATCGTAGAGTGGAATTCTGCTCATGTAGTCTCGCTAGCTATAGCATATAGCATCCTGGGCATCACTGGGAATCAAAACACCGCGGCTTTGAGAGCACTTGTTTGCAATTGCGCATTAACGTGATTAACCAATGATTTAACTTGCAAGCCAGGACCACTGATCCACCAAACCTGCTTGCTTGCAGTCTGTGTTCCACCACAGTCCCCGACGTTGGTCTCATGATTCATTTTGTTTCTAAAGATAGATTTGATTTTGTAGCGAGTAACGAAGGTTTCAGGGGAAATGTATCGGAGTAAAAGTATCAGTTTTCTTTGCAAAATGTAGTGAAGTAAAAGTCAACAGAAATATAAATAGTAAAGTCAAGTACAGATATCCAAAAAAACGACTTAAGTACAGTAACGAAGTAGAAATACTTCGTTACTATACACCACTGACTGTAACACACAGGTGTCCAGGTCTCACTGTAACAGACAGGTGTCCAGGTCTCACTGTAACAGACAGGTGTCCAGGTCTTACTGTAACACACAGGTGACCAGGTCTCACTGTAACACACAGGTGACCAGGTCTCACTGTAACACACAGCTGACCAGGTGTGCAAGTCTTCACCAGCTAAACTGAAACACTTGTGATTTTCAAACAAAGTTTTAAACAGATTTCTGCACCGGGAACAAACTAAAACTAAACTCTAAGACTTTCTTATTATCTAAGTTTACATGTTACCAGCTTGTTGTCAAGTACACACATAAATAAATATAACTTTGTCCCGGCCCTCAGCGACTGATACCGGTTCACAAGACACCCTTAAGGGTCTATACGAGACGCACCAGTCTTTCAAGTAACTACAATGTAAACCTATTCGCGTCATTATTAGATGCTCTGCGGGAAAGGGGAGAGGAGGTGGATGTATCAAACAAACATGGGACTTTCAACCAGGAGACCAGTGTTGAGTCCTTTTGAACTGATGTTTATGTTACGTTGTTACGTTTTACTTAGTTTAGGCAGTTATTTTAAGCCCAACCACAATGTTTTTCCTTGTGACCCTGGGAGCTTTGTTGTTGGTGGCAACAGCTCCTCCTACAGGGTCTATTAAGTCAAAGTGGTCCGAGGTTACGGCCCAGAAGAGTTCTTCACTGAAGCTAAGAATTGGCCACAACAGACCTGGAGTAGTGCTCTAGTCTCTCTGCTGGCCGGCTTTAACCCAAAGCCCAAACGAGGCATGCTGATCCCTGGCGTTGTAGATCTTACAGAATAATTTCAAAGTTTTGATGTGTTGCAATGCCAACATGAGTTGTTATGTGATTCCTGCAGGACTGTGATGCAATGTGGGAAGACTTTCATAACAAATTGGTGGACTCGACGTTGCTGAACCTGGATGAGTACCTGCTACAGTTTCCTGACCTCAAAGTAACAAACACTTTGTCTTTTGATTAAAAAATGAATCCCAGTGTTGATGTAGAAACTCATTCATCTAAAAACTGAAACTTTGTGACATTTCAGACTCGTGTAGCCAAACGAAGTCGGAAACTCATCGACTATGACAGTGCTCGTCATCACGTCGAAACCCTGCAGGTGTCAGGGATGAAGAACGACCGCAAGATGATGAAGGTGAGTCCTTGTGTGATTAAACAGGGAGATTAGAACTTCAGGGACCAGGTTCTGTGTGTCACCTGTTCAGGTTCTGTGTGTCACCTGTTCAGGTTCTGTTTGTCACATGTTGAGGTTCTGTGTGTAATCTGTTCAGGTTCTGAATGTCACCTGTGCAGGTGCTGTATGTCACCTGTGCAGGTGCTGTATGTCACCTGTGCAGGTTCTGAATGTCACCTGTGCAGGTTCTGAATGTCACCTGTGCAGGTGCTGTATGTCACCTGTGCAGGTTCTGAATGTCACCTGTGCAGGTTCTGAATGTCACCTGTGCAGGTGCTGTATGGAGTTAATTTTATTAAACAAACTTGTTATTGTTTGAAGGCAGAAGAAGAGTTGAAAAAGGCTCAGAAAGTGTTTGATGAGTTGAACGTCGGTCTGCAGGATGAACTACCGAGTCTCTGGGACAGGTGAGTTAGATGTCATACACACCTGCCTGATAGCTGATGATGAAATTTTGCTTTGTGTATGTTAAACAAGAAGAAATAACTGGACATTACAGTCTGTGGAGTTTGATAACCTGTTTCTATGGAAACTGGGCCTCGAGAAAGAGGTGAAATTCAAATCTCAGACTAATAATCTAGCATCTCTTCTGCTGAAAAACATAAGCTTAGCACCTGCAAATAACAATAATATTTTTAAAATGTTATCAATAGTCCTAATTGTTCTATACTTATCCTGCTGTTATTGGTGTTACTACAGCTATTAAAGAAAATTAGTGTTGGTAAAAAATGTGAGAACGTGGAAATATATTTTCAGAATTAGTTGTATGCCAATATACAGAAATGCGGGAGGTTTGGCCGATCCGATCACAATCCATCTTCAATGCGTTTTGGGTGCATTTACACCTGTAAATTTCACAATTTTAGGGGCAGGGAGGTAGAAGGAGAATAATTCTGAATCCCAAATAAAAACATTGGTGTCTAAAAACCGTTTTGAAAGGAAAGAGGCAGTGAAGAAAACGGCTAAATCAGGCCGCCGTGGCTGCCGGTGAAATTCCTGCTCTGCCCATCACGCATTTGAATGCAAGGTGTGATGATAATAATAATAATTAAAGCTGCAAGCAGCGATGTACGGTCCCTCGCACCTTCCCGCGTCTCGGGGGTACTGGCGGGACGCCGGCGTGAATGTCTTTGACCATCGAACAACGCGTCCCGGAGTTCAATGTATTTTTCCAGCGTGGACTGTGTGACGCTGGAAATGATGTAGTGCAAATATTCCACCAGTTCCTGTATCCACTATGTGGCGCTAGAGAACACGTGCAAACATGCATTATGTTGCTCTACATCAAGTATAGACCACATCATGTAAATGTCATGTAAATCGAATGCCGTTTGTCACATAATGCTGTCTTCCTGTTGCCAGTAGGTGGCGCTATGACTTTGAGTGAAAATTGGCTTGTAGACATCCTCAGGCCATGACTGTTATCAAGTATGGCAAGTTTGGGACAGATTTCAGCAAGTCCAGTGGAGTTACATCAGCTTGTTGTTTAACGGCGAATCACCTACAATGGCCACCACGCCACGGCTACACCATTTCATCAAACGTAAAACTTTGAGTAACTTTTAATTGCAAAGGTCTTTAGATTATACTGACCAAATTTGAAAAGGATCTGACAAAGTCTCTAGGAGGAGTTTGTTAAAGTATAGCGACTAGAAATCATGGGAAAATTCACACAAAAATGAAAATGGCCAACTTCCTGTTAATTTTAGAGCATTGTCCCAAAACGCTTTTTTTTTTAAGTCTTCATGTGATACATGTGCCTACCAAATTACATACATGTAGGTCAAACGTAGTGCTGGGGCTGCGATTTTGAATATTTGTAGGGGGCGCTATCGAGGCAATTTGAAAGGGTCAAGCCAAAAAGCCATATGAAATATTTATTTCCATCACCTATGACACCTGTGCAAAGTTCCAAGGCTTGCTGAGCATCCTAAGTCACAGAAAAATAAGCTTAATTTTTCATGGCGAATGACGCGTTGCCACGGCAACAGCGTTTAACGACAACTCACAATATTCATGATGAAGCATTATCAATGTCTTACGGCTTAGCTTACCAAATTTGAGACTGATCTGGGCAACTTCCTAGTCGGAGTACATCAAAGTATAAAACTTGTCATTTTCTTTTGCCATGGAAATGTGCTCAGGCCTGGACCAGCATCATGCATAACAATTTTGGGGCAGATTGAATAAAGTACCTTGGAGTTACAACTTTTCCTCTTTCATGGCGAACAGCACGAAATCTGCGTGACATGGGCGCCACATAAAACGAAGGTCGTTCAATGTCAGTAGACCATTTTAGTAACTTTTCATCATTAATGTCTTTCGATCATCTTGACCAAATTTGAAGTTGATCGTATAAATTCTGTGGGAGGAGTTTGTTAAAGTACAATGCCTGAAAACGATGAAAAATGCCTAAAAATGCAAAGAAATGGGAGTATTACTGCATCGCCCCCTAGTGGTTGTATGGAATGAAAATTTGAGGGCAAGTTACAGGACACAATGTGAACATATGCTACAGATTTCGTGATCATAGGCCATATGATTTTGAAGTTATATATATTGCTGTAGAAGGCCACACCCCTATTAAATTCATTGGTCCATATATTTGTAATGCAATAAGATATCAACAAGAGTTTCATAATTTCTGATGATATAGATCCAATAATGATTCACAGCAAATTTGGTACGAATCGGATCCAGGGTCTAGGAGAAGTGAATTTCTTTTTTTTTTTACAATATTCAAAATGGTGGAACATTTTGGTAGGCGGAGCTTAGGGTGCCAAGAGGATTTTTTGTAGAACTCATTCAGTTGCTCATGTCCATAGCATTTTAAGTCATTTGGACATACGGGCTGTCGGGGCTTGCATTTCCAACTTCTAGGGGGCGCTAGCGAGCAATTTTGTCATGCTCGAGCATGGGACCCATAAAATATCAAATTTTCCCGCAGTCCTGATATGCTTGCCAAATATGGGGATGTTGGGGACATGATAAAGCCCCCAAAATGGCGTTTCATTCGAGAGAAAAAGAATAATAATTAAAGCTGTGAGCAGCAATGAACGGGCCCTCGCACCTTCCCGCGTCTCGGGGGTACTTGCGGGACACCGGCAGAAGCGGCCATAAATATCTGCGACCATCAGACAGTGTGCCCACAAGTTAGACATATTTTTAATGCTTGGACTGTGTGACGCTGGAAATTATGTAGTGCAAATATTACACCAGTTCCTGTATCCACTATGTGGCGCAAGAGAACATGCGCAAACATGCATTACGTTGTTCTACATCAAGTATAGACCACATCATGTAAATGTCATGTAAATCGGATTCAGTTTGTCACATAACGCTGTCTTCCTGTTGCCAGTAGGTGGCGCTATGACTTTGAGTGAAAATTGGCTTGTAGACAACCTCAGGCCATGACTGTTATCAAGTATGGCAAGTTTGGGACAGATTTGAGCAAGTCCAGTGGAGTTACATCAACTTGTTGTTTAATGGCGAATCACGTACAATGGCCGCCACGTCACGGCTACACCATTCCATCAAACGTAAAGCTTTGAGTAACTTTTAATTGCAAAAGTCTTTAGATTATACTGACCAAATTTGAAGTGGATCTGACAAAATCCCTAGGAGGCGTTCGTTAAAGTATAGCGACTAGAAATCATGGGAAAATTCACACAAAAATCAAAATGGCCGACTTCCGGTTGGTTTTAAAGCATGGTCCCAAGAGACTTTCTTTTAAGCCTCCATTTGATACATGTCCCTACCAAATATCATACATGTACGTCAAACGTAGTGCTGGGGCTGCGTTTTTGAATATTTGTAGGGGGCGCTCTCGAGGCAATTTTCACTGGTCAAGCCAAAAAGCCATATGAAATATTTATTTACATCACCTGTGCAAAGTTACAAGGCTTGCTGAACATCCTAAGCCACAGAAAAATAAGCTTCATATTTCATGATGAATGACGCGTTGCCACGGCAATGGGCGCCACATAAAATGAAGGTCGTTCAATGTCAGTCGACCATTTCAGTAACTTTTCATCATTAATATCTTTAGATAATCCTAACAAAATTTGAAGTCGATTGCATGAATTCTGTGGGAGGAGTTCGTTAATGTACAACGTCTGAAAACGATGAAAATTGACAAAAAAGCCAAAAATGGCTTAACTACTGTATCGCTCTCAAGTGGTTGAATGAAATGAAAATTGTAGGGTACGTAACAATATACGATGTGCACATATGAGACAAATTTTGCGATTATACAGTTGTGTGAAAAAGTGTTTGCCCCCTTCCTGATTTCTTATTTTTTTGCATGTTTGTCACACTTAAATGTTTCAGATCATCAAACAAATTTAAATTTAAATAAGTAAACACAAAATGCAGTTTTTAAATGAAGGTTTTTATTATTAAGGGGGAAAAAAAATCCAAACCTACATGGCCCTGTGTGAAAAAGTGATTGCCCCCCCTGTTAAAACATAAATTAACTGTGGTTTATCACATCTTTGGAAAGCTGAGTTCAATTTCTCTAGCCACACCCAGGCCTGATTACTGCCACACCTGTTCTCAATCAAGAAATCACTTAAATAGGACCTGCCTGACAAAGTGAGGTAGACCAAAAGATCCTCAAAAGCTAGACATCATGCTGCGATCCAAAGAAATTCAGGAACAAATGAGAAACAAAGTAATTGAGATCTATCAGTCTGGAAAAGGTTACAAAGCCATTTCTAAAGCTTTGGGACTCCAGCGAACCACAGTGAGAGCCATTATCCACAAATGGCGAAAACATGGAACAGTGGTGAACCTTCTCAGGAGTGGCCGGCCGACCAAAATTACCCCAAGAGCGCAGCGACGACTCATCCAAGAGGTCACAAAAGACCCCAGAACAACATCCAAAGAACTGCAGGCCTCACTTGCCTCAATTAAGGTCAGTGTTCATGACTCCACCATAAGAAAGAGACTGGGCAAAAATGGCCTGCATGGCAGAGTTCCAAGACGAAAACCACGGCTGAGCAAAAAGAACATAAAGGCTCGTCTCAGTTTTGCCAGAAAACATCTCAATGATTCCCAAGACTTTTGGGAAAATACTCTGTGGACTGACGAGACAAAAGTTGAAGTTTTTGGAAGGTGTATGTCCCATTACATCTGGCGTGAAAGTAACACGGCATTTCAGAAAAGGAACATCATACCAACAGTAAAATATGCTGGTGGTAGTGTGATGGTCTGGGTCTGTTTTGCTGCTTCAGGACCTGGAAGACTTGCTGTGGTAAATGGAACCATGAATTCTGCTGTCTACCAACAAATCCTGAAGGGGAATGTCCGGCCATCTGTTCGTGACCTCAAGCTGAAGCGCACTTGGGTTCTGCAGCAGGACAATGATCCAAAACACACCAGCAAGTCCACCTCTGAATGGCTTAAGAAAAACAAAATGAAGACTTGGGAGTGGCCTAGTCAAAGTCCCGACCTGAACCCGATTGAGATGCTGTGGCATGACCTTAAAAAGGCGGTTCATGCTCGAAAACCCTCCAATGTGGCTGAATTACAACAATTCTGCAAAGATGAGTGGGCCAAAATTCCTCTACAGCGCTGTAAAAGACTCATTGCCAGTTATCGCAAACGCTTGATTGCAGTTGTTGCTGCTAAGGGTGGCCCAACCAGTTATTAGGTTTAGGGGGCAATCACTTTTTCACACAGGGCCATGTAGGTTTGGATTTTTTTTCCCCCTTAATAATAAAAACCTTCATTTAAAAACTGCATTTTGTGTTTACTTGTGTTATCTTTGTCTAATATTTAAATTTGTTTGATGATCTGAAACATTTAAGTGTGACAAACATGCAAAAAAATAAGAAATCAGGAAGGGGGCAAACACTTTTTCACACAACTGTAGGTTAAATGGTTTTCAAGTTATGAGTATTGAAAAACAAAGCCACGCCTTATGAAGTTCATTGGTCCATATCTTCTAAACGTAATGAGATATCAAACATCTTTTGATACAATTTTATTATATTGATCCAATACTGATCCACAGCAAATTTTGTAGCAATCGGACTCAGCATGTAGGAGGTTGAAAAAATGGGTTTTTCACAAAATTCAAAATGGCGGAAAATTTTGGAAGGCGGAGCTTAAGGGTCCAAGAGGCTTTTTTGTAGACCTCATTTGGTGGCATGCCTGTGTAAAATTTCAAGTTAATTGGACATACTGGATGAGGGGGCTAAATTCTAGGGGGCGCTAGCGAGCGAGTTTTTCATGTTCGAGCATGGGACTCATAAAATATCAAATTTTACAGCAGTCCTGATATTCTCACAAAATATGGAGATGTTGGGGACATGATAAAGCCCCCAAAAAGGCATTTCATTCGAGAGAAAAAGAATAATAATAATAATTCCTACAGTTTCAATAGGGACGTCGGTGCTCGGGCCCTAATAATAATACTTTTATTTGTAAAAATGATTTAACAAGCAAAATAAGTGAAAAGTGCTTTTCATACAATTAAAGAAGACAATATGCAAACAGTTAACACAATATTATGATCACAAAAGAATAATAAAACAACAGCAAAGACAATAAAAAGCAAGTCTGAAATGGTGATTTTCTTTACTTAAAAGAAGATCCCTGATTTTCTCCGGCAGGTTTTTATAGACGGGCCTGAACATAATCGGCCCGGTCGCCTTTAGTTTTGAGGTTTGACCGAGAAATGACCTACCAGGACCTCAGCTTGCATTCAGGCTCGTAGGAAGTCAGAAGGTCAGCATTATATTCTGGAGCTAGCCCCCTACGAGACTTAAGTTATTATTAACATTTTTAAATCCACTGTAAGATGGACTGAGAGCCGATGAAGTGATTTTAAAACTGGTGTGATGTGTTCTCTCCTCTGAACTCAAGACTGGTTGCAGCATTTTGAATAAGCTGAAGTCGATTGAGGTTTTGTTGCGTGTGGCATGAGTGCATTGCAGTAATATAACTGTGACAAATTGAATGCATGAATTACTGTTTCCAAGGCCTTTGCAGATACAAATTAACTAACAGACAACAAAATGAATATCCTGGTCAAAGTTAAGGTGGGTGCCAAAGATAATACTGAGGTTTCTGCATTGTTAGATGAGGGGGGACCAAGATGGGAAGAAATATGATTCCATGATAATAATCTCAGAGTTTAGCTGAAAAATGTTTTTACAAAGTCTTTACGCTTTTCTTTGTACAGTGGAAATGTATTTAATAGTGAGTTCATTCAGTCAACTCAACTGATAAACTGACAAAGGGAGGATGTGGGTTTGCAGTGGAGCCTGAACTCATTCATTGTCAGCAGCTGAGCGTGGTCCTCTTTATGTTTGTTGCCTTCAATCTGACTGCAATTATTCTCACATTTCAAACAGAAATGTAACTATGATCACAACATGTAGCTGAATCAAACAACCCTCCCTGATAATAGACCTGAGTCAGCTTCTAGTTACACTTATAGTACAATTAAAGCATTTCGTTGAAAGTCAAACATCTTTGATTGGCTTAGTTCGTTAAAACAAATGTTAGAAAAACATCCACTTGTAAAGATACTGCAGAAGATTCAGATGCTGAGTCTCTCTTAATGGGAAGTCGTCCTGACTGTTTACATTAGATGTTCATGAGCTGACTGACTAACCAAATGCAAACCTTCTAGCACTGCTTCTTCCTGCACTATTGACACTTCCTCTGTTGTAAAATGTGTGTAGATCCACAGAAGAAGAGTTTAATCAACAATGTTTAGATCATCTGGAGAACAACAATGACATAAAATCACTAACAATTAAAAACTGTTTTTCTTTCACTTCTGTAGCCGGGTTGGTTTCTACATCAGCACCTATAAGAGTGTAACCAATTTGGAGGCCAAATTTCACCGCGAGATCTCTCAGGTGAGTAGGGGGGGTTAACTACTTTGTTTTTACGATTAGAACAATACGAACATTTTAAAGCTTATACTGTTCAGTCTGACTCATGACAGACATCAGTGTGTTTGGGCACTTTGTGACAGCACATGTTACATGGGGAGAGGTGAACTTGTTATTTTTCTTCTAACTGTTCCCCTTCAGGTATGTAGGCAGCTGTATGAGGTGATGACCCAACTGGCTGAGCAACATTCTGACAAAATGTTCACCATCCAAGGAGCACCAAGGTCAGTTTTCATTTTTAAATGTCATCGTAGTTTTGTAAAATATTTGATTTTATTTCACGGAAATGATCAAGTGTGTATTTTTCTGTTATCGAATCATCTTTCAGATTGTTATAATGCTTTGAGAATGTTCTTGATGAGACGATCTCAGGCGTTTTAAGTCCATTGATCTCAGTTAACTGGGTCACATCTGTGTGTTTTAATGTTATGTCTTCAGAGATGCTGTGAACTTATAGTGATATGTGCGTCTAAAACGTTCATGTTTTGCTACTTAGAAACAGATACAATCACCATCTGAGTCTAACCTGTTAGATCTATTGTTGGAAACGTATGCACAACATCACAGAAAGATTTCCAGTTCATGTTTCCTTAAACAATGTTAAGTTTATGTTTGTGGGACATCTAAATAGTATTTTCCCAATAAACTTGTTCATTAAGTTGAAAGTATATAGGCACAGTTGGATAAGGAAAGCCAGTTGAACACTTTAGTCCACTTTATGGCATTACATTGAAACACCTGCTATACAGGTGTCTGTTTATAACATCTGACATTGGCCGTCAGAAGACTCTGACACTATGTGATCACATGAATTCTGTCTTGTCCCGCAGTGATTCAGGACCACTGCGACTCGCCAGAACCCCATCACCACCAGAAGATGAGAGTCCACCTGAGAGTCCAGACACCAGCTCTAATCACATGCTCCGCCCTATCTCACCTGGACCACCGCGGCCCAAATCCCCTATACAGGTAGATCTCATGCTTAATCATTCCAGATTCACAGCATAGGTAGATGTAATTGTAAATGGATCCAGATCCTCATCACAGTAGATATAATCCTAACTGGATCCAGATCTTCATCATGGGTAGATCCAACCCTATCTTGATACAATTATTCAGCACAGGTTGATCAAATCCTAACTGGATCCAGATCTCTATCACAGGGAGATGTTACCATAACTGGATGCAGATCTCAGTAACAATTAGATCAAATCCTGACTGGATCCAGGTCTTCATCATGGATATATGTTATCCATACTTGATCCAGATCTCATCACAGGTAGATCCCACCCTATCTGGATCCAGATCTCATCACAGGTAGATCCCACCCTATCTGGATCCAGATCTCATCATGGATATATGTTATCTGTACTTGATCCAGATCTCTATCACAGGGAGATCTAATCCGAACTGGATCCAGATCTCCATCACAGGGAGATCTAATCTTAACTGGATCCAGATCTCTATCACAGGGAGATCTAATCTTAACCGGATCCAGATCTCCATTACAGGGAGATCTAATCCTAACCGGATCCAGATCTCCATCACAGGGAGACCTAATCGTATATAGATCCAGATCTCCATCGGAGGTTCAAAACAAATGTTATTGGTCTAGAAAAATGAAATATTTACTGAGAATATTTGTCTCATAATAAGACCATTTAACAGTGATTAATAGATAATTATATAGTGATATATATGTATAACAATGATTGGTTAATAAAAGTGATTGGTAGATTATTTAAGAGTGATTGATAAATAACTGTGTTGTAACCTCTGTACCAGCAGATATAGTGTTTCTATATATTTTACTTTAATCAGATCTGTTTGTTGGTTCAGTCAACTGTTGGAACTTCACAGTAACTTTATGCGACTGTTTTTCTTTGCTGCCCTCTTTTTGTCTGTTAACTGGTGAGTGAACATGTAACATTTGTCTGTTTTACTGTATGTGTTGAGTGAATTTATAACACCATAGGTTGATGGCTGAGATTAGAATAGTTAAGGTTACGAGACACTGACACTCAGTGTTAGCCTTCAATAGCGTTTACATGTTTGTCAAAGGCATTTGGACAAATATGTGTGTATATATGTAATGTATGTGTATATATGTCATGTGCGTGTACATATGTGTATGTATATGTCATGCCCCCACCCAATATGAAGGGGTGGTAAATTGGTGTTGCTTGGCTGAGGAAAACTTTTGAAATGTTGAAGGAAGTCGGTTGATGGGGAGGAGTACATGTTAAAAGGTGTAATTTACTAACCAAATTCAACCAAATGATGTTAAGCTGAAGCAACAAAAAACAAACTCCATCACATTAATGAAAGCTATAATAATAATATCAGTGGGTGTCAGCAGGGACATGGCAGAAGGCACGACCAGGGTCCAGGTAAAACCACATTCCATAGAAACCTGTAAGGAGAAAAAGCACAAAGACTCTGGGGAAGAAGCAAAATTAGTATTGTGCATTAATGGGACATGAATATAAAGTAGAGAGGAGGAGAGAGGAGCTCAGTGTATCAAAGGAAGTCCTCCAGCAGTCTGGGTCTATTGCAGCATATCTAGTGCTGATCCAAGGCAAACCTGAACCAGCTCTAACTATATAACTGAGCCAGCTCTAACTATATACCTGAACCAGCCCTGACTATATACCTGAACCAGCCCTCACTATATAACTGAGCCAGCTCTGACTATATACCTGAACCAGCCCTGACTATATACCTGAACCAGCTCTAACTATATAACTGAACCAGCTCTAACTATAAACCTGAGCCAGCCCTAACTATATACCTGAGCCAGCCCCAACTATATACCTGAGCCAGCCTTAACTGTAAGCGTTATCAAAAAGGAAAGTCTTAAGCCCTCCGGACTGATACTGGAATCTGGTTCCACAGAAGATGAGCTTGATAGCTGAAAACTCTGGTTCTTGTTCTACTTTTTAAGATTCTAGAAACCACAAGTAACCCTGAATTTAGGGAGTGCAGCTCTCTAGTAGGATAATATGGTACTATAAGCTCCTTAAGATATGGTGCGTGACCAATTAGGGCTTTATAGGTAAACAGAAATATTTTAAATTATATTCTAGATTATACGGGGAGCCAGTGCAGAGAAGCTAATACAGGAGTAATATGATCTCTTCTCTTAGTGCTGCAGCATTCTGGATCAACTGAAGAGTCTTCAGATACCTGTTAGAGCAGCCTGATAATAAGCAATTGCAATAATTCTATTCAATTATAGCCCAAAATCACAAATCACAAATTAGCCTCAGAGGACTTTACAATTTATACAACATACATCTTTGTTTTTTTGGCAGCTTAAAAAGGGGCCGCCGGTGCCTCCACCACCAAAAGCCACACCGACCAAGGAGGTGGCAGAAGAGCAGATCATCGACCTGTTTGGAGGAGATTTTTTACCAGCACCTTCACCATCGCAGGTCTGTGGAGTCCTCTTCTGTGTTCATTAACATTTCCTAAAACAAACAGATGCAGGTAATATGTACCTTGTGTGTTTTTATACACATGCTTACCTCTTTGTGTGGTGGTGTTCTTGTTGTTGCTGCTGCCCACAGCCCAATGAAAGACCAGGAGAATCTCTTCTCGACATGGACTTTGATGCTTTTCAGCCAGATGAAAGTGTTTCTCCGATACCACAGGTTCTCTTTAACTGACATTCACATTCCACTTGCAACAGTTTGAAGCAGAGTACTCAAGAACACTGGAATATGTTTGATTGGACAAAGCAATGCCAGAACGCCAAGTTGCACTAACAAAATGGTCTGGTGACTAAGAGACTGAAGTAGATCACTACAAAAGCTTGCTGATTTACATGATTTACCTGCTCTCAGCATATTTAATTTGACACAGTCTCAGGTAGACGGGTCACTGATCACCTGTTTATGGAATCTGTTGAGTTTTGTGTTCAAATGAGAGTTAATCTCTCGATACTGTAGCAAAATACAAAAAATAAGTAAAACATAGACAATAATCATGAATATATTATTTTCTAAATGTCTGTGGACTACATGAGTGAGTGAAGATGTGGTCAGAGTTAAAAGTCCAGTTTATCATTCCAAATCCATCCCAGTTGATAATAATATGTTGATATGCATCTGGTATGTGTTTATAATATGAGCCACATGAACAACATGTGCTCTGCCTCTTTCAGACTGCTGTGCCTTGGGATATGTGGTCGGTAAGTAAACTCTTCTGTCTTAATTGTAGTTGTTAAAAGATATGTTTACACTGCACACTGAATAACATCTTTTAAATTTATGATGTGATCATTTTTAAAGTTAGATATATTTGGAGGTTGGGGTATGAATGAAAAAATAAAGTTAGTGTAGTAACTTTACAAATCAATACTTTTCTAAAAGGAAATCAATGAATCCATTACATCAGTGCACAGATCAGAGTAGATGTCTCTGAACCATCTTCTACGCTTTTCTGATTTTTTTTTTTTAGGCAAACACCCAAACAGCTCAACCTGTAAGTACACACAGTTACACACCGTTACACTGTTACACACCGTTACACTGTTACTCACCAGTTACACACTGTTACACACCAGTTACACACCAGTTACACACCAGTCACACACCTGTTATACAGTTACACACCAGTTAGACACCTGTTACACATCTCTTACACACTGTTATACACAGTTACACATGTTTATCGTCATCACTAAAACACGATGAATTATTAATGAAGTGAGTTTTAATTTCAACTCACTGTCCCCACGCTGATGATATTCACAATGTAGAACATCAATATTTTCACATGTTCACTCTAAAACATCAGCAAAATAACATGTTCACCTTGTAGAACATCAGCAAAATAACATGTTCACCTTGTAGAACATCAGTACAATCACATGTTTACTTTGTAGAACATCAGCAAAATAACATGTTCACCCTGTAGAACATCAGTAAAATCACATGTTCACTCTGTAGAACATCTGTAAAATCACATGTTCACCCTGTAGAACATCAGTAAAATCACATGTTCACCCTGTAGAACATCAGTAAAATCACATGTTCACTCTGTAGAACATCAGTAAAATCACATGTTCACTCTGTAGAACATCAGTCAGGAACTAACACAGATTTGTTAAGTAGAAAACTGAGTCATGCATCTCTTAGTTAGACAGTCTGATCATAGTTGTATTCTATGTGCAACCTGTCTAGATTCTCACATCATTCCTGTCTTGGTCTTAAAAAACACACACTGTGTATTTGCATCCAGTTTGACTCAGAACTGTGGGTTTAGAGCAGGGGGGTCAAACTTTAACACTACATTTCCTGCTTTTCCCAAGCAGCCTGCAGACACCAGCTTCGTCGCCAACTGGTCCGCTGACTTTGGTTCAGTGTCAGCAAATGAGGATGCTGCTCCAGGAGTGGAGGCCCCTGCTGTAGGGCTGGAGGGGGCACAGGGTGGGGCACATGGGGCTCAGGACTTGCCCCAGACAGACGGCTGGCAGCCTGGTGCAGACACAGCTTCACCTCCTCATGACTTGCCCCAGACAGACGGCTGGCAGCCAGATGCAGACACAGCTACACCTCTTCAGGACAGTGAGGTAGCCACAGCAGCTGAAGATGAGGTTAGCAGCTGGAACTCTCAAACTAACCCCGACCTTCATTCCTCTGCAGTTAGAGGTGATGAAGTTGAGACAAGGCTGTCAGACTCAGTGGGAGATGCAGGGAAGGAAGATCGCAGGAAGTCCACCCCAGGACTGATATTCACCAATGAGTATGGTGAACAGATTGAGGACAGTACAGAGGACATAGGGGACAAGTGGTCCAGGTCTCCAGATGGGTCTGGGTCTGAATATGAGACCGCTGAGGAGTGGGGAGATGGAGGTCAAGGGGGAGGCTGGGCCAGTGCCGATGATGAACTTTCATATGAAGATTTTCCCCCAGTGAATGTCTCAGAGGGGTTGGGTTGTGGATATGATGGTGTAGCAGCAGATCGTTCTCAATCAGTAGAACAAGATTCCCCAGAGAGCGATGCAGCAGAGCTGCCAGGAAAAGTAACTGATCTCAAATCAGTTTATAGAGATCCTTTTGCTGAAACACAGGGAGGAGGTGGTGCATTTGATTCAGACCCCTTTGTTGAAACACAGGGAGGAGGTGCGTTTGATTCAGATCCTTTTGCTGAAA